TAGTTAATACCACTAAAATCAACTAACAGGGAGTAATGGACAACTGAAGGCTCTCTCTGATTCTTTTAATCACAGGGAGTTTATTGACCTTGGTCTCATGCTGGAAATGCCAAATTAGACTGTACAGCCAAGTATGCCTCAAATAGCACTGATGTTCCAGTCACCTAAAAAAAAAAAAAGACAGTTGACTATTTCTGAGAGCTTATTATGAATATATAACTCATAAAATGGATGGAACAAACATCTCAGTAGCTAATTTTTCTTTTCAAACATTTACAGAAAAGTGCCCCAAAACAAGAAGCATTACACCAATTTGTAAAGTAAAAAAAAGGGGGGGGGAGATTCACTTCAGGTCTTTTGCAAATGGATCAGGGTAAAAACGGGATATATAAATCTCTGTCATACTGCTTTATTTTTATCCGGATGTCTACATAAATTCTGATAAAAAGACCAAAATAATAAAATTACCCAATTATATCTAATACATTACATTGAGGCTCAGAGTTAATAAAGTTAAAAAATTCTAAATAATGCTTTTTACTGGAAGAACTTTTAAGTTTCTAACATATGTTATTATTTAAAACATTTAAAATTTCAAAACTAAAGTTAATCCTGTACAAGTTTGGTGATAAAATTCATTCAAAACCAGGATCAACTTTCCATCTTTCCAAATTCTTAGATTTGAAACAAACCGATTTCCTTTATTTGTCAGTGGAAAAGGCACAGTGCTAGAATACTAGTATATACATAATAAAACACTGATGACTCCAATTTTAAAAAATAAAACAAGTTTATTTTGAAAGGAAAAAAATAACCAAAGGATTATGATGGGGGGGGGCGGAGAAAGGTTACTACCTCTCTCTACTTAGCCACATACAAATGATCTGTCAGCCAGAAAGGTTTGAGAGTACTGACCTAGAATTCATAACACTTTCACAACTCCAAGATTACATGTTAACAAAACTAAATGGTGTCAATTACCTGCTACTCTAACATGAAATGTTTAATTTACAAGTCCCTACAAGAATTTTAAAAGTCCAAAGAAAACATATGATTAGGTTAAAATTTAGTATACTCTGGGTGAATTATAAAGATTTTTTTTTTCCCATCAGAGCATAACACTTTAAATTGGTGATACTCAGAACCCAGCAGAAGCAAAGCATTAAGTGCGGAGAATCAATATTCTTCAAGTATGCTGGTAGTATTTGCCACTGTATTATTTTACTATTATCCCATTAATGCCAATTAGTAGGCAACATGTTTAATTATCCTATTATCATTTTGGCAACTGGTCAAAAGAAACCAAGAACTTTTCAATATACACACAATATTTAAAAGAATATTCTCATTGGAAGCACCGAACTGTTTACAGCACACTTCAGATTAAGAGGCATGTTCTTATATTGAGTCATCTCTATCTTTATAAGTGTAGCTGCTATGGGATAATGTAAATAAAGTTTTATTACTGAAAGTCTCTTTAAAAAGTTACTTAAAAGCTTTTTACATTCTTAAAGAAATTAAAGACAAATAGCTATATTCTCCTTGATTTAGATATTCATTACTCAGTTACTTAGTAACATGCTGGTTCAGAATTCAGTCTAACATTAGAAGGGTCACTCTATTACTATATTTAGGTGAAATCCAGACAACTTTCCAAATTTTTAAAATATGGAAGATGCATTTAGGCAAATGTTATCACATACACTTCTATTCAGATTGATAGTTCTCAGTTGCTATTTCAGAGATTTGTGCCAATTCAAAACATAAAATTGGTTTTTGGCCCGCCACCCAATAAGTACTAGCAACTAAAAAGTTACCAGCATTTGGGAAATTGAACATCCACTTTCCAGAAGCAAATACCTAGGACAATAGATTCTATCTGATAGCAAATAAGTTTAATATTTTTTTTCTCTGTTAATCCAGATCTATGGATGCTAATGGTATAACAGAGTCATTAATGAAAACAATAAACTCCTAGGACTACAGAAGTTACAATATAAGATATTTAAATCCTGTGATCAAGATGTAATACTTAATTCTAATTGTATTTAAACATAATTTCAAGTTCACCTCCATTAGTATAAGCTAAAATATATTTACTTCATTTTGCCACAGAATCCCTTATTAGGAGCTTAAGTGCCTACTGAACTTATCTAAGAAAAAAAAATTAATCTGTTTAAGTTGCAATCAAAGTTTTCAACTTTTTTATAAAAGATTAAGTCTTCTGATCTTATTAGTTTAACAAGTCCTAAAAAAATAGGATTTATATAAAATCAGAAAGCATGATTAGCTTACTTTACAAAATAACATTATTACCAAAAATAAAATGTAAAACATTGAATCTATAAAATTTAGTAAACCCTTGAAAATTTTCTAAAATGTTTCTTCCCTATCTTTTGAGATAAACTGTGCTTATTTCTAAACTAGTTATTTTGCATTGGCTGTTTTTAAATCACATCCAAGCTGAATCTTCTTAATACATCAAAAAAAAAAAAAAAAAAAAAACATCTTATTCAACATTTCAGAGAGAAATCTGCCTACCAGGCCCTACTTTCACAGTTACATTAGTTTTTTAAAGTAAGTTTTACTGTGACAACATATGAAGATAAATGCACCCACAAACCCTAAGAATACTAAAGTTAGAGCTGAATCTCTTGGGAGAGGGGTACATTATCCTTTCTTTTGAACATCATCAAAATGATAACGATCAAATAAAAAGGTATTTCCACAAGCCTCAAATTAGAATACAGACTTGAGAATACCCTTGGTATTTTAAAATTCTACAGATTAACTTTGTGTGGGCAGGTTCAAAGCCACCATGGCATCCTGAGCAGAGTTTTCTACAGGCAGGGCAAATCTATTAAAAAACATGACCTGTGACAAAAATCAATGTGCTAATCTCAAACCAAACAACAGTATCAAAAGCATAAAACAGAGATAACCTAAGATAAAATGTCCTCGAACTAACTCAGACTAGCTTGACAGGTTAAGAAGGAGGGGTAGGTGGGGGTGTTGCTGATTCTTTCTGTTTTAACCTAGGATGACTGGAACACCCAAGTATCCAAATAAAACTGTGAGGAAAAGATCACACTGTGAAGTTTGGAGTGGGAAGGAAAAGACAAGTAAGCACAAAATGTCCCACATTCAACTAACCAATTTCACTGTTATTTAATAGGGCGCTAAAGTTTAGAAATATAAATTCCTGTATTTCGTATATGCTGTTTAATAAAGCCCAGGGGGGGAATAAAACCAACCAACATAATGAGACTTGCTTTTAACACCATCACAACTGGAAAGCTTGCTCTATTTGTCTTGTCAGCTTTAATAAAAGGCATCTCCTCTGGCGGGATGGCTTCCCTTTCTTTTCCTAACAGTGGTAAGTGGCATGTCAAAGAAGAAATAGCTTCCCATCCCACCACCCACCTCCAGAAGACATTTTTTTTTTTTTAACCAAACTTTCAGGGATGTCTCCACTTCTGCTAGGCGGTGCAATTTAGAATTTGGGCTACCTGGGTGTGATTATCTCTCCCGGAGTAGCGCGGGGAGGTGGGGGGGGGGGGGGCGCTACTCTCCTTTAGGCAATCGGTCGACCGCTTGTGGGGAAATCTGCCCATCTTCATCTGAGCTGACACTACTTCAAGCGGGGACTCCCTCCCAAGCCTGAATTAAGGGAGAAGGAGGGAGGCCGGTGGACACGGCCACCCGGAGGTAGGAAGAACTGGAGGCGCCCGCCAGCCCCCTCTCTCCCATACACGTTGGGCGCGCAGCCACCACAAACTATCATCCCCTCGGCCTCCAGCGTCTCTCCTCCCAACTTCCACTCCAGCCCAGAGAAAAACCTGGGATTTCAGGTATAATCGATGCGATTTCCCTCTTAGGCAGGCACCGAAACCAGCCCGCACCTGGAAGCTGGCCTCGGTCCCAGAGAGCCAGAGCATTCTGGGCCCAGTGGGGCCGACTGCTGCCCACAGGCCGGGGAGAAAGTAGGGCTCGGAGCTTCTCTGGATCCGGAGGGGCTCGCCCGGCACACTGGACAACGCTCACTCCTCCCCACTTCCAGAATCCCTGAACAAGGGACGTCTGCGCGTGGCCAGAGTTCAGCAGGCGCGCTGGGGCGGCCCTAGGCGCCCATCTCTAGCCTTCCGCGTACCGGGAGGGCTTCGGGGACGCCCACAAAACGGTTCCAGGTAATTGCGCGTGTTCCTCCGGCTTCACACCGCCAGGCCGTGGACTACAGGGCTCCCACCTCCCGGCTCGGCCAACTCCAGCAGCTCGCTCCGCACACATGACGTAACCCCGCATTAGATCAAACTTTCTGGCACCTTGAGCCCACGGCGGGTAAGGAGGTGGGAGAATCCTCTCCAATGCCAGGCGCGCCGGGCCGAGACTGGGCCAGGGGCCGGTTGATTGCCTCCCAGTTAGAAGAAAATAAAAGCCTAAAGCTTCCGCTTCCCAGCACCCCCCTCGCTTCTCCCAGCCCTTGCGCTCCCTGAACGTACCGAGAAAAGGGAAGAAAAATTAAAAAAAAAAAAAAAAAAAAAAACAACTTTGGGGATGTTTGGCGGGTTCTCCCTGCAGTCCCTGCGCACCCACGCTCCAGGCGGGAACTCTTGGCTGCGCGCACCGGGACCTCCCGGTGCCCAAGCGCTACGCCCGGATCGAGATGCTGGCCGGCTTGCCCCGGTGAAGAAGCGGAGAAGTCTCGACTCCCCAGCTCCCGCCTTTTCCGAGTCTCCCCGCGCTCCGCAGAGGCAGCGGGTCTGGGCTGCCCCGGGGACTCCCAAGGACTCCTGGCCTCTTTGAGGCAGCTTAACAAAGAGAGGCGCGACGGGAACGCTTCCCGTGGGCGCCTCGAAAGCCATCAGCGCCCTGGCGACACAGGCTCCAAGGGTGCGCGCCGCCCGCGGCTGGTGCGCGCAGGTCCCCGCCGCCACCGCCGCTCCTTTCTTAGGGCGCCGAGGCCCGAGTATCCCCGCTCTCCGCTCCCCCTATTGCCTTACCTGGGGTTGCTGCTGTTCCAGTAGACGGCGTAGCGGTCGGCGACGGCCTTGGAGCCTGGGTCCTGGCTGAACACACACATCCAGAGCACCAGAAACACCAGCGTCAACATCTCCACGTGCAACATCACGCCTGGCCAGCGGCGGAGCCCCCGACAAGCCACTCCGGGGAAAGAGCAGGGATCCGGAGGGAGGGAGGGAAGGGGAGAAAGAGAGCAGGAGCCAAATAAATATGAATAAATAAGAATGAAGAGTGGCGAGAAAAGAAAGAGGCGCACACCAAGCTGGGGAGGGGAAGGAGAACGAGAAGAGGAGACGGGGGGGGGGGGTCGGGGAGGGGGCAAAGACGAACTCGCACCCCCACTGGAGGGTTCAGGAGGAAAAAAGGAATCACAAGATGGAGAGAAGCATGCGTGTGTGTGGTGGCGGCGGCGAGGGCGGGGGAAGGGGTGCCAAGCTGTGTCTCGAGCGGCGGCGGCAGGCCGGTCACCCCGGGAGGAGGAGGTGCGCACCGGGCCGGGCGGCGGCACCGCGGGTTGGGGCAGGCGGCGGCGCACGCTGCACAGTCACCGGGAGTTGCGCGCCGCAGCCGCGGGGAGACATACACTGGCCCGCCGGGCCCGGCTCAGCGTCGGCGCCGCGGGCTGCGCACGGCTCCGCCGCCGCCCAGGGCCCTCGCAGTGCGCCCCGCTTCGCTCCAAGTTACTTTGGCGGCGGGTGAGAAACTGCAGGAGGAGGGCTCCGTGTGGATGGAGGGCTTCGCGCCTGTGGCCCCGGAGGTAAGGACCCCCTTCCCCCGCCTCCTCTGTGCCTTAACCAGGAGACCCTTGGAAATCTCGGAGGAGTCGTAGGTGCTGCGGATTCGGGGCGCTGCGCCGCGCCGCGCCGAAAAGGGTGGGGATCCGGGGCCACAAACCCAGCCCCGCCGGCGTCCTGGAACTGCTTAAGCGGCAGTTAAGCTGGCGAGGAGCGGTCTTGCCTTGAAAACCTCAAAGAAAAGTTTGGCTCTCCGTGTCCTCCGGCAGGTCCCCCCGGCGGAGTCGGACTGCGGCGGCGGGAGACGACACCCCTGGCGCTGGCAGAGCCTCGGGGATTTCTCGCGCGTGCTTTTCTTGGCCGGGTGTGGGTGCACCAGAGTGAATGAAGAGCAGAGGTTACGAACCAGCCAGCGAGGCGGAGCTGGGATGCCCAAACCTGCAGGACGACGCCAACCCAACTGTTAGGCTGGAGAGCGAGAGGGAAAACAATCACTTTTTAAATGAATCCCTGCAACTCCTGGATGGGCTGATGTCAGTCTCCGATCGCCTTCCGGGAGCAAGACTGAGCCCCCAGACGCGGTGCCAAGAGCCTCGGGTGAGCGCTCAGAAGTGTCCCTGCGACTCCGACGGGTCTTGCCCCAAGCCCGGCAACTTGTAGAGATGCATCAATCAGTTTGAAACGGGAAAAGAGAAAAAAAAAGAGAGAGAGCGAGCGCAGGAGCGAGTGGCACCTCCCCGATGACTACATCAGAAAACCTTCCCGATCCTCCTGCAGCTGCTCCTCTTTCCCTCCTTGGGCACAGCAGCAACAAGAGGTGAAAAGCACCAACCGAATCCTAAAACCTCTACCAGGCGGGAAAATAAACTTGAGTGCAGCAGCAGCAGCACGAACAGCCCAGGAGGGATTGAAATGACTGGCGAGAAGTGGAAAGAGGTAAAAGTCAGTTTTGCAAAAGAGAAAAAAAAAGAGAGAAAAAATGCTTTATGGGAAAAAATCTCCTCGGGCACGCCCCCTCGTTAATGACCTGCGTGTAAAGCCGACAGCAACGGCGACCCAGCAGCAGCCGCCGCCGCCGCCGCACCGGAGCGCAAGGCCGCGCGCGTGAACGTGGACGTGGGCGGCGCGGCCGTGGAAGGGGGCGGTGCCCGGGCGTGTAGCGCAGGGCGCGGGGCAGGCGGGCTGCGCGAGCGCGGGTGCGAGCTCCGGACCTAGCAGGGGGAGGCGCCGCCCGCCCGCGCCCAGCCAGCGCCGCTGCCGCCGCGGCCCGGGTCATGTGGGCTGCTTTTTTTTTTTTCTTTTTTTTTTTTCCTCCCCATGCAGTTTACTTGGAAAGTGGGGGGGGGGGGAGGGGGGAGGGTTGGAGCAGCCAGTCAGTGAACGGCCTGCTGTTTGCTTACAGGTCGGGGTTTTTTCCTCTCTCTTCACTCCAACAGGATTGGTTTGTTCCACGAGAAAGAGGCGTTTTCTTAATCTCCTCCCTTCCCCACGCCTCCTACCCCCCTCCTCGGCCCCACCTTCCAGAAACCTGACTAATTGAATTACTGGGAGTGCCGAGGCGCCCTCTCCTCCGCCCGAACCCAGCAGCCGCGCGTAACCCTTTGGATGCTGAATTCCGTCTGGGCTGAGGAGTGATTTGACATCTTTTTACCTGAGAGTGCGGTTTTTCAATTACACAGGAACCGGTTCCCATCCTGTAGCCGGCAAGCCGAAATCTGTCTCCCAGGCCCTGCAGGTGACTTGAAGTCCCAGCAGACAGGCTGGCAGGGAGCCTCAATGAATTCGTGTTCTTGTAAATCTGCGCTGTTCACGACGCGCATTGCCCGGAGCTGGGTTATCTTGGAAACCTGAGCATCTCTCATGTGCCTTTCAACTCGCCTCTTCCTACCAGGGACTTAAAGGTTCACGAGCAGGAAGCAAGACTTTTTTTTAAAGTGATGCTCTGAAACACATTTTTTTTAAATTGAGAAAATCAGTGTAAAGTGATTACAATTCAGTGCGATCCTTCAGCAGGAAGGAAATGAATGCGGCAGGGGAGCCCATCAGAAATACATTACACCTTTTACATTTCTACCCCGAGGTTGGTTTACTGCCCACTCCCCAAAGGATAGATGCTTTCAACGAACCCGGTGCGGGAAGAATCGCAGGTCGGGGCGGGAGTTCCTTTATTATTTGAAAAGGCCTCGCGTACCCGGACTTCTAGGACTTCTAGAACAGGTTGCAGCGCCTTGGTCCCCAGCGGCCTCGGAAGCACGATCGCCTGACAGCAAGGCGGTCCGAGCGCCTTGGGACGCGTCCCCCGTCCTCCAGCGCCCGGGAATCTAGTCTAGCCAGGAGCTCGGCGCTGTGGGGCACCAACCCCTCGGAGACTTGCCCTTGCGGAGCTCAGAGGGCTCAGGCCTTCATATTAGTCTCTCCTGCCCTCTAGGGAGTTGGCTGCCCCGGTGGGAAGGGCTGATCCCACGAAAGAAATCGGTTTAGTTTTGCTCCCAAACCTTCCTGTTATCCCCTTTACTTATTAGCCCAATAAAATCAAATATCACGTTCTCCCTCCTGTGCTTTAGTTTTCTAGATCAGACTTTCCAGGAGCTTCGGAATTGTTTGGAAGCGTCCAGACGCCCTCCAGTGGTGGGCCTGAAGTCCGCACCCAGCGGGGGTATTGCCTGCAGCTCAGTCAGGATTGAGTCTGATGGAGAACCTGGGGTCAAGATCAATAAAGACTTGAGGGAAAAGGAAGAGCTCACATCGGCATGGAATTACCTGGACATAATGAGCTCTTGCCTAAAAGTTGAGTCGTTCCTCAGTTACAGAAAATTTTCCTACCTGAAGAGATCCTGAAATTGTCCTAGGAGAGTAACTCCTCTATTTGTGACTAGGTGTAAATTGCAATCTGTATAATTACAGACTTCATGACAGACCACCGCAACAAACCAACCACATTCCTAATTTTAAAAAAATGTAAATTCAGAATATTAACACAAATACTTGTCTACCATTTGTATATTTCACAAAATTCCTGCAGTGAGAAAGTTGGAAAACTTAAGCCAGGGAACTAAAGGATAAGCATTTATTTTTGAAACCAAATTTTTATTCAAAGCTTGATTTACTTTTACCCCCTGGCCTGTAATCTTGCTGATGTTCAAGTTCTTGGCCTATTTTAGGGTGCATTTGTTTTTTCCTTTGCAGGAATGATGCATTTCTTCCCTCAGCCTTTCTGATAGTAGCTCTAATAAGTGCTCAAATGACTGAGGAAGTTTTGCAAGAAATATTCTGGGCTCTTTTAAGGGACATGTGTATCTTTAGGAAGAAGAAAATTCACACTCCTGTCTTGGGGAAAATGCTGATCCTCATCAGAAAGTCCTTTCAGTCAGGGAAATATCAGGTATCAGGGAGTTAGCAAGCTGGCTTCCTGTGGCATCAAAGCCAAAGGAGTAAGGAAAAAGAAATTAAATCCACTTAGTTCCTATTTGAAACTCATACTTCAAATGTGAAAATTCAACATATCAAAGAATATAGATGTCCTAATATTTTCAATATCTCTAATTTGCTTAAAGTCTGGATAGTCCAATTTTAAGCAGGAAAAAAAAAATCATAATGATGGTCTTCCTTAAAATGATTCAGGGAGTTGGAATAAGACATTGGAATTTGCAACTATTTCAGAACATAACTCAAATGTCTATGTGAAATAGTTCATAAACCTAAATCAAATGCCTCCTTCTGGGATGATATACCTAGATAATTATTGATATTGATATACCTAGGTAACTAAGCAGCAATATGATAGACACATACTTAGATGGACTTTGAAGAGGTATTATTAACCGTTCACTTATCGCCAGACAATGTGACTTTGTCTCTTCAGGAAAATATTTAAGGGATTTGAATTTATACAAATCAGCATTATATAAAATAACTATATTATGATTACTCCAATGTCACAGAGGCAATGACTCTTAAGCTGGTCTTTGAAGGGGAAATAGCATTCTGCCAAGTACAGAATGAGGTTGAGGTATGAGAGAAAGAAAACAGCAAACTAAAAACACAGAGTAAAAGGGTAGGGAGTGTTAGAAGGCTCTGAGTTGACAAGACTTGAACAGGGTTGTAGGGAGCTGAGACCTGAAAAGTCTGTTAAGAATGGACTGTAGAAGGGCTTAACTGCAATCTACAAATGTTTGAATTTAAATACAGGCAACCAAATGCCCTGGTGGTTTTATTTTTTTTTTAAGATTTTTTATTATTTATTTATTTATTTGACAGAGAGCACAAGCAGGGGTAGCTGCAGGCAGAGGGAGAGGAGAAGCAGGTTCCCCGCTGAGCAAGGAGTCAGATGCGGGACTCGATCCCAGAACTCTGGGATTGCGACCAGAGCCGAAGGCAGATGCCTAACCAGCTGAGCCACCCAGGAGCCCCCACTGGTGGGGTTTTTTTTTTTTTTTTTTTTTTTTGGTGGTTTTAAAACAAGTGACAAGTAATAATCATTATGCCTCAACATACAAATTGGAATGGATTTACTTGTTTCCTTATTTGTTCATTATTTTTTGGCTTTGAACTATCTAGATTGATGTTCTAATCTTGGCTACAAATTAGAGTCACCTAGGGAGCTTTTTTATTTTTTATGTATTTTTTAAAATATTTTTTATTTGAGAGAGAGAGAGAGCGAGCATGAGGGGGGAGGGGCAAAAGGAGAGGGAGAAGCAGAGTCCCTGCTGAGCAGGACCCAGGGATCATGACCTGAACCAAAGGCAGAGCCACCCAGGCACCCCACATAGGGAGCTGTTTTAAAAAGAACAATGCCAGGACCCCACTTCCGGTTTTAGTTTGTTAGGGTAAAGGACCTGGGATCTGTAATTTTTAGAAGCTCCCCAGGGAATTCTAAGGAGCATAGAAAACTAAGAATCACTGATCCAGGTAATTTATTTTTACCGTAATTACTTCACTAGTTCAGGCAAAAAAGTAAATTCTGTACTTACTTGTCTGAAATGTTTCAATTAACCGTCAAGGCAAGAATGTTGATACTTTAGAGAACTGAATTTTATGATCCTCTTTATTAAAATGAGTGATGCTTTAAAAGTAGTTTTCATATGGCATGAACGAGAATGCCATCTCCAAGATGGGGTTGCAGGGGCAAAGCTTGCTTTCAAATATGGGTTAATCTTTTTTGGACTAGTTTAAACTTCATTTTTGCATTAGTCGTCTCCAGGTTGAAGTAGAGTTCTGTTGGGTCAGGTGTCCAGATAAAGAAATGAAACAAGCTGGTGAATGAAACCCCACAGTCCACAGACTGTAGTTTAATACAGTAGTTAAACTAGAACTGATACCCAGAAGAAATAGGAAACAAACTCAAGAACAAAGATGAAAGAAATAACAATTAGACACAAAACTTTCTCACAGATGACTAACAAAATGGTATTTAATCTAATCCTGCTATTTATCTTCCTAAAAATTTAGAATTCATTCCAAAGCCCCAAGAAACCCAGGTTCTATCACCAAACTATTTATTTAATAAAGCCTTTGCACCTCCTCACCCCTTTGTACAATAGGTTTCTCAGAATCTTTTAGAAATAACTATTTGCTAGCATTTCTCTCCTTGGAGACCTAAGGAAATGCTCCTTTTCTATTTCTGATCTAGCTGTTTCTTCTGTGTACAACCTAAAAGTGAAAAAAAAACAAAACAAAGCAAAAAAAAAAAAACTGTCTACTAAAGAGAGTGTCACGTCTCTACCTTCTGTCTTGTGACCTTCAACTTCCATCATGAATTTTCTACTTTGCTCATTCTTTCTTTACTTTCTGGGTGCTTCCTGGAGTTTGGTTCACAGCATCCCTTCTCAGAAAGTCTGTGGATAAGTAGGAGTGTGCGGATAAGCAGGAGTTTTACAAGTTGCCACAATATTCTGAAAAAGTCATTTTTTAAATTTTTTATTTATGAACTGTCATTGTTTTGCCTGTTTGAAAACATAGTTTAAATAAGATCTGCAGAGCAAACTTTTTAAACATACAGAAGCTTGGGCGGTCATTTTGATAAACAACTAAACCCTATAATTAGACATATATGAAAATATGTTTTACGTTCCTATGTACTACAGATGACTATGTGATTACAGGTAATTTAAAAAGAAGCCAACAAGAACTAGTTGATTCAACCAATTTCCATATCACTTTTCATTATCTAAACTTCATTCTATAGACCATAGACTTATGTGACCAGTTTTTAACTATAACGCTGAAATTGTGATTTTATTCCCCTAGGAAAGTTTCATG